CACCCCCACAAACAGAAAACAACACTGTTTGATACGCTCCGAAACCATTTCGACTATGATGCCATCGTAAGAATGCTTGTCGACGCCAAGTTGGACCCAGCCTCAAAAGCCTCGGCAAGAGACTTGGAATCACTGTTGTTTGCTAAGTGGCTTGATGGCAAGTTGACCCCGCAGGACATCGCTCGTTGGTTGCGCGCGGATAGATCAGACGCAATGTTTGATGAGTACAAGAGATTGTTCGAGATGAAATGGCCAAATGGTGTTTAGCCGCATGAAGCTTAGAAATTTTCGCCCCTAGAAAGGAATCTTTGACCTCAGTATCAATTTGTGCATGAATATTGGTCTTGGTTGCTAGTGTTATGCTAGCGGAGAAACCAAAAGTACCTCATCGCGCAGCTTCATTTGACCACTTCTTCTTGAAATATCTCGTGTATTTTTCCAAGATCTCGCCAGAGTCACCCGCTAATGCCCAGTTGATGTCGGTCGTAGGTTTTCTCTTCTCCTTAAGCCATTTATTCAGCAGTAGCAGCTCCAAGCTTTCAGCGGTCAATTTCGTAGTTAGATCTTTCTTGGCCGCGACAAGCATATCTTCAATGGCCAATGAAGTTTGTCCTGAGTGTATCAATTAGTGTTGTTTTCTGGCTGGGGTATTCTTGATTGAATTCAATCATGTACCTGACCCAAAAGTTCAACGAAGAATGGGGCCTGGTAACGCGGCAGCTTTTTCTTTCAGGCCCACAAACTTGAAGGCTTCGTTTGAGTCATTTTGAGGGCTTCCCATTCTGCAAACACCTGATTCATTAGCTTTGTGGAAATGGCTTCCCGCCTATTCTGTCCAGCTTCATACCTGGGCCAGGCCTCCATTGCCAAGACCAAGAGATAGCGCCCATTCTTCGCGGGGGTTGCGAGCATTGAATTTTTTCCAGGTAGTTAAGCCAGACGTTCAAGACTGGATGCGTAAGAACATCAACATTATGAAGCCGTAGTAACTCGAAGACGCGCACCGGCTTAACATCAGACGCCCCCAACCCTTCACTCGCTGCTTCTGCAACTTCAACGCAAGTGCCTTCGTGTTCGGATCTTTGACAGCGCCATTAAGCATTGCTGAAAGCACATCAGTTTCGAAGATATTATTTAGCACTGAAGCGGCAGATTGACGCTCTGCTTTGGGTTTCGTCTCATTCAAATCGTGGACATGTTTAAGCCAAAGGTGGAGTTTGGGGCTCGCCAATAAGTTGTCTTTCACCAATGTAAGATTCATCCTTCTAAACACGTCTTCTGCCGAGGTTCTGGTGGCTGGCCAAAGCTGGAGATTTGATTGACCTGCAATTGAGACGGCAGTCGCTATGGGCTTGTCTAAGACAGAGATCGCGTTAGAGTTGATTCCTCTCTCCTCGTTGATCAGATCTTCATCAGCGGTGGTGTGCTGGTTGCTTTGTAAATGCCGAATAAAATCTCTAAGATTACGTGGTGTTTGACCAGATATGCAATGCCAGGTTATTGCTGGCAAGACCACAGACCACAACGCGATTCGCTCGTATCCGTGAAGAGACCTCAAACCAGCGGTCTCGCGATGGGGCTTTCTACACTCGCTCAGCTTGTTGCAGCCATGTTCCTATCCGATATTTCGACTGTGTTAAATGCTGAAGCAATCAATAAACACCGGACAAAATTAGATGTGATTTCAGGAACCACCCAAGAAAGTACGGTTTGAAAACATGGAGCGTAAATGTATAGCGCTTGCAGGTTTTGCCAGGATGTAAGCTAGGGGGCCTTGAAGCCTTCTAAAAAAAATTATAGCCTTCACTAATCAGTTGCTCTTCTTAAGAAAGATTGCTTGCAAGAAACTCAGTCGTAAGTTACTTTGCTTTTTTGAAGATCAAAAAGGAAAGCAGAGAAAGAAATGCTAGATTTGGATGGGTACTGTTGTAGTGGGTTATTTGAGTTACGACACGATGCTGTAGCAACAGCTACAATCTAGCCTGAGTTGGCTAGTCGGCGTTTAGTGGTGCCCAAACTTGCCGCCGCGACGACCATAGTCTCCTCAGTTGGTTGTAGTCACCGTGGTGGCCGTAGTTTCACCATGATGTCCATAGCGGTGATCCTCGGTTTCGGCGTCTATCTTGGCCTCAGTTGCAGGAGCCTGAGCAGCAGAAGTGAGAGCCACGACGCCTGAAATAGTAGCGATGATCGCAAAAGTCTTAATGTCGAACGTTGCTTGATTGGAATGGGAGGAGGCGGATTGAGCTGTGGGTGGAGAAAACAGCAAGGGCCAACGACGTCACTGAAGACAG